GTTCCCATGCTATAAAGACCGACCTCGACCTTGAGACGCCATGAAGATCGACCTCGACCTCGAGATGCCATGAAGACCAACCTCGGCCTACAGACGCCATGAAGACCGACCTCAACCTCGTGACACCGAAAGACCGACCTTGACCTCGAGACGAAGACAGACCTCGACATCGAGACGCCACGAAGACCGACCTCGACCTCATGACACCACAAAGACCGACCTCGACCTCGAGACGCCAGGAAGACCGACCTCGACCTCCAGATACCATGAAGACCGACCCAACCTAGAGATGCTATAAAGACCGACCTCAACTTCAAGATGCTATAAAGACCAACCTCGACCTTGAGCTCTAGATGCTCTAATGACGTATTTCGACCTCAAGATGCTATAAAGACCAACCTTAACCTCGAGGAAGACCGACCTCGACCTCAAGATTCTATGAAGACCAACCTAGACCTCAAGATGCTATAAAGACTGAACTCGACCTCGAGATGCTATAAAGACCGACCTCACTTCGAGATGCTAAAGCTGACCTTGACCTCAAGAAAGACCAACCTCGATCTCAAGATGCTGTAAAGACTGACCTAGACCTCAAGATGCTATAAAAATTGACCTTGACCTCAAGATGCTATAAAGACTGACCTAGACCTCAAGGTACTATAAAGACCGACCTCAACCTCGAGATGCAATAAAGACCAACCTCAATTTATGATGCTATAAAGAATGACCTTGACCTCGAGATGTTATAAAAACCAACCTTGACCTCAAGATACTATAAAGACCAACCTCAATTTATGATGCTATAAAGAATGACCTTGACCTCGAGATGTTATAAAAACCAACCTTGACCTCAAGATACTATAAAGACCAATCTTGACCTCGAGATTGCTATAAAGACTGACCTCAAACTCAAGATGCCATAAACCCCGAACTTGACCTCAAGATGCTATAAAGACCAACCTTGAAAGACCAACCTCAACCTCAAGATGCTATAAAGACCAACTTTGACCTCAAAATGCTATAAAGACCAGCCTAGACCTCTCAACGCTATGAAGTCCAACCTCGACCTCGAGACGCTATTAAGGCCAAACTCAAACTCGAGATGCTATAAAGACACACCTCGAACTCAAGACACTATGAAGACCGACCTCATCCTCGAGACGCTATGAAGACCGACCTCTACTTCGAGACACTATAAAGACCGACCTCAACCTCAAGACGCTATAAAGACTGACCTCTACCTCGAGATGCTATAAAGATCGAACTCGACCTCGAGATGCTATGAAGAACAGCCTCAACCTTAAGATGCTATAAAGACCACACCTTGACCTTGAGATGCTATATAAAGACCACACCTCGACTGCATGATGCTATAAAGACCAAATTCGACCTCATGATGCTATAAATACTGACCTTGACCTCCTGAAAGGCCTACCTGTAACTTGAGATGCTATAAAGACTGACCTTGACCTCGAGAAGACAACCTCAACCTTGAGATGCTGTAAAGATTGACCTCGACCTTGAGACACTATAAACACTGACCTCAACCTCATGATACTATAAAGACTGACCTCAACTTTGTGATACTTTAAAGACTGTTGCAACCTTCTGATACTATAAAAACCACACCTCAACCTCGATATACTATAAAGACCACACTTCAACCTTGAGATGCTACAAGACCAGCCTTGACCTCAAGATGCTATAAAGACTGACCTCAACCTCGAGATGCTATAAAGTCTGAACTTGACCTCGAGATGCTATAAATACAAGCCTTGATCTCAAGAAAGACCAACCTCAACATCAAGATGCTATAAAAGGCTGGGCTCGGTGGCTCAGCCTGTAATCCCATGCTTTGGGAGGCCAAGGTGAGTGGATTGCCTGAGCCCGCGGGTTCGAGACCCAC